CATTTTTGAGGGCTCAACTTCATCGCTTCACCGAAACGAGCATCTGAAATAACTTAATCGGAGGTTTTTTTCTTGACAGAAATCGGAGAAGTTCATTTAAAGGCTGTCTCTCTGTTATGCTCGTTTTCAAGAGACATGTAAGCATTCAGAACTTGCTGGGCATTTTCCGAGTGTCTGGGATTTTCTTCCACGATTTTGCCATGACGGCTATAGCCCAGACAGAAAGATGTATTCTAGTTTTCATTGAGATCAGCTTTCGTGTCGCAATACCCGTCTTCTAAAATTACACATAACACGAACGACGGGAAATTCTAGGGTCGTCAGCAGGTGCATGGTTTATGCAACATATCGAATTAACATTTATAGACAATAATGCTGCACTTTGGAATGACCATCGATTGTTTCCCTATAGACTTCTTGTATTTTATGCCTGGGCAACGTTTTTCCAATTAATGTATGTGCAATCTGCGTCAGGATGCCAGCTGCTAATTTCAAAGAATTGAAATCGTGAAGAGGCATTTTTTTGAAGATCTCAATTTTCAAGACATTCTTTCGAGGAGCAGTGCAGTACGAGTTTTTGAATTCGTCAGAGCACGACGAAGTTCTTTCTTTTTCTGCCAAAAATAAGAAAGGATGTAGGGTCATTTCGGTTCCCATGATGCTGTTGGACACAGTAAAATAGCTTTGTTGTGCTGAATTTTTTTTTTCACAAAAGAAATGTTTCAACATTATGGCTATAGTGGACAGGGCGGACCTAAAATCGACTTCAGTTTGATCAAATACTGTACAGCATTTGCTACAAGAAGATATCTTGTAACAAGATTTGACTGTATATCAGCTAAAGATGAAACGCAAATAAAAGACGGGAGATATTATTGATCTACAGTAACTGAGGAATTTGCCATATATACTGTCTTGCCAGCACATTTAAACAGCCTCTGGATTTCTGGAGTCAACAAAAATTAGGGAAGACGAAATGTCGACCAAGAAAAAATGGATCTGGACCTTCAAGATATTTCGAAATATTCGATTTTCAGCAACAACAAAGATAACGCATGTCTTAAAGGGCGCTTGATGGTTCTTAATGAAATACTGTATTGTTAGCACTTTTGTGGACTACTCACTACTGTACGTATGCTTCACGCAGAGTTGAATGCAGTATTGTACAGTACTGTCCTCGGCAATTCCGAGATGAAGCCCGAGAACCAAGGAGTAAAGGAACCCTGAGAGCCGGCCCTGGTTCGGTTCTCGCGTGCCTGCATGAAGGCGATGCGGTGCAAGTGTGCGAGGTGCGACACACGAACCCCGGGTTTCTCTTGTGTTTCGTGCTGATGCAAAGAAACTGTGATCCATCGCCCATCGCCCCCCCCCCCCCCGGGTCCCGTTGATGCGCGGGCTCCGAGGAAGGACAGACAGCATTCAGACGCTGTGGTTGAAAACAGGAGGCGTCGGCGCTCTGGCAGAGGCCTCGACGAGTCATACGCCGAGTGGACTCGTGTCGGTCGTTGTCATTCGTGGCAATCGTGGGTTTTTTTGAAGAGAGTTCTTTGGGCTATGATACGAGTGGGACGACGAGATGAACCTGAAAGCTTGTCGAGCTTTGGGATTGGGACATGTCGACGTGGTGTCTGTGTAATAGTGTCCAATGGATTGATGAACGAATGATTGTTCGTAATTTGAAGTACAGTAAATTAATTCAGTGTGGATAAAAATGGGCAGAAAATTTCACTCGGGGATACAATTTCAAACAAATTTCAGCCTGAAAAACACTGGTCCTCGTCTTACGTGAGGGTCATGAAGGGCTTCGAATTCTGGCACGTTTGCACTTTGGTAGACCCTTCGCCGCTGGGAATGAATGGCTGGCTGGCTCGCTCGCTCAGCCAACAGCAGCTGCAGCAGCAGCAACAGGCGCGCGTCAAGGGCCACATCATCAGCAGCGCCAGTCGAGGCCGGGACCAGATGCGGAGCCGACTCAGGCACAGGCTGTGGTGTTGGTCTGGCTGGATAGCTGGCTGGCGTGGGTGACTCGCGCGCGTGTGCGGCTATATTCTACCGATTTTCCAACGCTGTTCTGATCTGATTATGTCGAATTTCGTGTCGTTGTTGCTGCTGCTTCAGAAGATGTGGCGAGGGAAACCTTGGTTGTTTCTTGCCGGGCTTTGTTCGAGTTGCTTTGGCGCTGAGCTCAATCGCGAGTTAGTTCTTCTTCCTCGCTGCGCGACGAGGGGAATGCTAGAAGAAGAAGAACCACGCGCGTGTTGGAGAACAGTCTTCATTCCAACACTGTCTCTCTTCGTTCATTCGGATTCGTTGTAGTGCTCTGTGATTGTGTTCGAGCATGGAGCATCAGTGCTGATTAAACGACGGAAGTGTCATTTGTGTCACCTCACAACCAAATAACGTTTCCTGTGGAATTCCTCCTTTCCGGCGAAGCATATATGCTCTCTCACGATGACGAGCCGGTGGGAATACAAAAGCACGTTTTCGGGATCAGCTTTTCCACCCACATCCTTTCCTTGCACAGCAGATTCTCATTAATCCCCGGCAGTAGTTGAAAGAAATAGGCGGACCGAATTTAGGCTCGTCTGATACATAACGTTCTTGTGGCTCGTATTCACGTTAACCGAAACGACACTTGACAGTATCGTGCTGATATTTACTTGATGACTGCAGTACAGTATTGTAATTCAGAGAAGTTTCATCCGAACTAGTCGGGCGGCGTTGAAAAATTTTCCTTTTTTGTTTTACCAGTGTCAAACTGTGGATGACATGCTGGTGAAAGTGCATCATCATCGATACGGCAAATTGTTGGGAAGAGTATAAAAATGCATATGAGCAGAAGGTTTGCACGGGAAAGAATAATTTCTCGTGAATCTAAAGTGCTGTATAAAATAACATGCCGCATACATGTATAAAACCCACCTCCAGCGTACATTTGATATGCGCCCGTATGACTGCCAGTGAAATACACTGAAGTCGTTTTAAAGTAATGTGCCCTTTTAGTGGAGTACAGTACAGTATAAGTGAAAAAATGTGTGTCGTTGATTAAAACAATTCTCGCACCTTACGATTTTTTTGAACTTTTCTTCCCTTGTGGTTAACCCAACGACGGCTTCTTGCATGCAGGACAACGCAGTACTACACCTTGAAGAATAATTGACCCGTTTGAAGTCAGTAGCACTATAGTACGAAGTGGAAATTGTGTGCTGCAATCTGTTCGGTGCCGTGCTTCGTATTATCGCAGGTCTCTGTCGAGTGTACGGAAACGACTGCTGCTGAGCTGATCCCGAATCAGGTCAACTGTGACCGCAATTTCGCCCGAGTGAAATATGATCCGTTCGACGCTGACCTCGAATTCGTAATCCATGTTTGCGCTCGAGTTTCTCTGGTGCCGGAGCTGGGCCAAAACCTGGGCGCATTCGGCTCTCGAGGCTTCGAGTACAGTAAAATGCAAGAATAAAAATTGCAGCCTCGAGCTTTCTTTAAGAAATTTTTGCGGTGGATTGAAGGCCGCGGTTAGCCGCATTTATTTGTTGTTTTCATTATCGGGGCGCATTTGTGTAAGAGTTGCTTTAGCGCTGTACAGTACTTCGTTTCGGCGTTCGTGGCCATAGTTTGTCTGCAGATTAAACTGCCTCTGTCTCATTTTCAAAGGTCTTCTTTGCCTACGAAAAATTGCACTGTTTTTCCTCTATATTGCATAATCGTATAATCATGCGCTTGCGCGTCCAACTTGCGTATTTCGGGCGGTTGAAATGCACAAAAAAAAACACGCTCGAGGGGTCTATAACACAAGTTTTCGAGATACGGCGTACCTTTTCTGGTCTTTCAAGGTCACTGTGCCATTTTCATCAACATCCGCCTTCACAGCCGCCCGTTGGGATGCAAATATGGCTGCTGTTGATAAGAATGGCAGAATTATCTTGTAAGACCTGGAGGCATCCCTTGAAACGAATGCCATGTGAATTTCAAAAATTCGAAAGGAAAAGCTGGGCTATGCGAAAAAATCTGCAAGTTGTGCGCCTTATCTTTTGAATGAGGAGCAAGAAGCTGCCATGTTGACGTTAGGCAAAAATTTCCCCCAGCTGAATTTTACGTCTTGTGCCAAAAAATATTTTTGCTGAACAATGGTTGGTTTTCAGCTAAATCGTATGCCGTTTCCATCTCTTTTCCGAAAAAAATGTGTTGGACTCGTCGTATGGTAAGCAAAAAAAAAAAAATAAAAATATGCTTTTTGATTAAATCCTACTGATAGCGTCTTTCATTTGATGGCATCTCTGACTTGCAAGCGAAATTTTTCTTCAATAGCCTGAAGTGAGAAAAAAAACAGCCTCAAATGCAGTTCAAAAAGGCCCATGAATACTTTTCAGGCTTCTACTAAGATTTAAACTATTGTGATGGGTATCCCACCGTAACGATGCAATTCTGAAAGACGGGGAAATGCGAAACACACGATGTCCAACAAATAAAAAAAAATGTCTAGACTTTCTTTCAAAATATTAAAATGCAGTACGATATTTCGTGATCAAAATCTTTCATGATGATGACGCAGTAGGAATGAATTCCTCGATAACGTTGATGCGTCTTTTGATGACCCATTAACAGACTCATCGAGTGAAAGGGGGGGGGGGAGGGGGTGCGTCTTGGATTCCCCAGCGAAATCATTCCCTTCTCTCTTTTGACCATGAATGTCATCGCATCTGCGTCTTGGATCAATTGCCGATTGAAATACCATATAATAATGGGATTTCAACACCAAGATGGCTTCAACATGAAAGAACAGTCCAGTGTTTGAGATAACTTACGCTTGATATCCTGCTTCGTTTCAGACGCGACCGTGAAAGAAGTGTTGACTATCGCGCGCGGTCTCGTGTTCGTTCCTCTTGCTAGCTCTTCTGTTCTGGTTGTTGTTGTTGGAATCGGTAGTCGACGCGAGTACAGTACTGTACTGCTGTATGTGAAACTTGAAGGGTTTCCTGTTTTGATTTTCATTCTGCTGCAAGAAGAAAAACAGGCCGTGACTTTATTTTTGTAGTGTGTCGGTATAACCGCGGCCGATGAAGGCGAGACTGCTCGCTGCGATTCCCTTCGCCAGCAGCTCCTTCTTCTTGTTGTTGTTGGTCCATTCAGGCCGTCGTGACTCCGTTATCGCGAGTGACCCGCGTGTGAACTCACTCATCGTGAACCACCAGCAGCAGGGATAATTTCCCTCGTCGTCATCATCGTCTCGCTGTCAAGTCACCGGCCCCTGTTGTGGAGAGACGCTAGCTGCTGCATCATCGCTCGCCACCCTGTTGTAGACGGGCGCATCGGTAATAGAACTGCTGATTTCTTTCTCTTTCTCTCTCTTTTGCTTTTCTGTGTCTGTGTCGATGACGACGACGACGAGCACATCTGCTGCGTCGACTTTCCCCCCCGCTCTAGCTGCACTGTATGACATTCATGTTTGGGGATGTGTGTGTGTCAGTGTACTGCGACTGAGTCGTTCCACATGACCTCTAGCGAGAAGAGACGTGGTGTCTGTTACACACAGTTTGTGCGGGTGCCATTTTTGTGCGCTGTCGAGTACTCGACTGAAATGCGTACTACGTGCCGTATGTTTTGTTGATCGAGAGGAAGATGACCCGCGTTTGAGGAACTGCAAATTTTCTGGTATTTCCGCCATTCGAACTGCAGTATTATTTGCGGCAACTGAAGACGGCAATTTCTCGGAATAGTCGAAAAAAAAGAGGAGGGGAACGATTTCATGGTGCGTCTTCGCGATAACCACGGCACTGTCTTTGATTTCGTTGGAAATTCATGTGATTTACATGAGGTGGTACAGGATTCCCATTGAAATTATGCATTATTCGACCATAATTTAATCATCACTGATTGGTGCGTCTTCGCGATAACCACGGCACTGTCTTTGATTTCGTTGGAAATTCATGTGATTTACATGAGGTGGTACAGGATTCCCATTGAAATTATGCATTATTCGACCATAATTTAATCATCACTGATTATGCGTTTGAAGCCTAATACTGTACATGTACAGTACGTGAAACTGGTTACAGTATTCAAGTTGCAAACGGGGGAAAGCGTCCCGAAATTATTTGAATGGGTCAATTGAGTAATGAAGAATCGATATAATTTCCTACGTAAGCATTTTATGTTGAAAGGATTTGTTCTCTGCGAATTCTTGCGGTTTCGGGTCCGAGTGAGAGTGCATTTCTGGTTTGTCATCAGTTGGCTGACCAGAAGATTACAGTATCTCTGGATACGTTTTTAAAAATTCTTTTATACTTGCTCTCATGTCCCTGATCCAGTTCCATCATTTGTCACTGGCACATATCGTGGCACCAAATCAGGGGTAATGTATCAGAGAAAGATCAAGTTCAGGGCTTCTACCAAAATAAGATTGTTTTTGGGATTGTTGTAGTCCATCGCGTATGTTTTTCACCAAGAAAGCTACAAAGACTAATTAAAAGCTAAAATGAACTGCATTTCTCTGCATTTAATGATCCATTCTACAGTTGTTATCTTGGAATTCAACTACCTCACAGTTTGTCGGTCCTGCAATTCGAGGGTCAAAGTTGCTAGGGAGGTTGACTTGCAATTTGACCTCTTCCATGCAATTTTTCCCGCTTAGTGATGAAAAATGACAAGCACAATGCAGAAAACATCAAATTTGATGCTGTCTTGCAATTTGACTGCTTCACGAGTCAACTCTAGTCCAGGACCCAATTAGGGTCAAATTTCAGGGCACTGCCTGTGTACTGTATCGTATTTTTGAAAATAGTGCATGTAGTAAACAAGCAGAGCTGTTTCTCGGGAATTTTGCGTCAACCTCTGAATGGAAGTTCAGTGCATCAATCCAAAATTTGGTTGGAGGTTTTTTTCAAGTTTTCCAAAAGAAACTATCTCAGTTATAATTAGTAAACAAGCAGAGCTGTTTCTCGGGAATTTTGCGTCAACCTCTGAATGGAAGTTCAGTGCATCAATCCAAAATTTGGTTGGAGGTTTTTTTCAAGTTTTCCAAAAGAAACTATCTCAGTTATAAAAATGTGGAGGATATCCAAATGATAACGCGTGATTACACAAAAATTCTGGAGTATAATTTTCAGAAATATTATTGAACATCTGTGTGTACAGTATTTCTCAGTAATAACCTGATTATATACCCACAAAAGTCTTCAATCTCTTTGATGAGATAATTTTTCATTCAGGATTTTATTTGTTTTGTGGCAGTAAGTGATGAGTTTGAGGAACATTTATGGCATTATGCAGTGGCGGCACTGAATTAACGGTTGACTGTGTAAATGCAATATACAGGATTAACATTTCGGGATGGAAAGAAATCCTTGCCAAAGTGTCCTCAGTTTCAAATTTTAGAAGAGTCATGATCCTTCTTAGGTTCTCCTCAAGTTCCAGCGCATCAAATTCGACTAAATCATTGTACAGTAAACAATGCTCTACACAGTGAATTAAACTGCGTTCAATAGTCGTCTGTTCCCTCATCGTGTTTCTTGTTTGATTTTTCAAATGAAACGAGAGAGAGAAAGGAAGAAAAAAGCAAATAAGGCTAGATGAGGGAGAAACCTCCCCGCAACCCCCTTCCTTTCTGCCCGCAGATGTAAATGCGCATGCTGAAACCTCCTCGTCCCGTACAGTAGAGTAGAGTATAGTGCAGTACAGTACTGTACAGTACAGTAAATGCATGCGAAACGCAGGGCAGCCTGGACTCTGTTGTTGCGCAACTCAATCCGTTCGGCCTGTTGAGCTGTAGCGCGGCGATTTGCCCCGCGTCCGTGTGCATGGCTCCAGGCGGGGGGAAACCGGCGGAGAAATAAGGAACGACTCGACTTGCGGTTCGCCGCCAGTCGTCTCAAGGTTCGTCCGGGCACGAATCATTCTTTGGAACCCACTTTCTTTCTCTCTATCTGTGTGCGTGTGTGTGTGTAACATGAAATGTATGTCGTAATAACGAACGAATACGTAATGTCATTTTAGAGCACTGTTGCTTGAGGCTCCCTAGACACCTTTAGGCAATAGAAGAACAATTCCGCATTTCGAAATTCACGATTTTTAACGCATATTCAGCTGAAATTTTGTGTGAAATGGGTAAGAAGTACTGTGCCGTAAAGTACTTGTACATACTGAAAATATTCCAAGACCTGACACACAATTCTTTCCAAGTATTTCTGATGAAATTGAGAGGAAACTTTTTGAACATGTGTAGGACTTTTTTTGTTTTGTTATCATTGAGCCTAACTTTCTGTTTTACTGCAGTTTCTCTTGAAAAACAATGTGAAGCAAAAGTACTGTATACGTGGGAAGAAGACCTCCTTATTCTAAATCAACTTATTCAGTCATACCTGTTCTGTTGAACAGAGGAAAATCAATTTTCGAGTACTGTTTATCTGAAAGGAAGCCATGAATTCTTGAATGTAGCTAATGGCGGAAGTATTTAATTTTTCTTATTTTTTGAACACTATACGTGGAGTTTGTCTTCAATAGTATCCGTTTTTTGGCCATTCATAAAAATTATTATTGCCGAAATTCGGAATCTAAGACTAGCACTCTATATGCTGAGATCTAAAGCTGGAAAAGAGTTTGTTAAAATGATATTTTTATAACATGTCACCTGTGGAAAAAATCGCTGGACACGGAAACAACTTTTGCTACGAAAAATTCTTTGTCACAACGAATTTTTACTGCATTGGAACGCAGTTTGAAAGAGCTGCCGCACGTGAGATCTTTGTGTGACATTCCTTTTTTCCAACAACTCTAGGAACGCCTCCTCCTGGGGGATGTTCGAAAAAATAATGGATGAAACTCTTGAAAAACCCGTATCACTTTGCGTAATTCACCGGGCACTAAAATTCACGATGCAGAGGTGAAGAAGGTTCGTTGAGCATACCTGATGCCAGCAGTATGACATATATAGTTTTCAGTACGACTTTTCCACTTTGAATCCAAACCAGAACCCATTCAAGAGTTGTGTGTTAGCTACCTTTCGGCTGAATTTGAGCTCAAAAACACGAGATGCGATACAACGTGGCTTTGTGAAGCCTTTCTATTCGCTATTTGATTCAATTTAAATGGAGCAAACGGGAAACTTCATCGCATGATAAGATTACGCGGAACATCGTGATCAGATCAGCACGGTCACTTTTCAGACACATCAGTTTAGGCAACGCCATTCTCTCGCGCAATTTTTATTTTATTTTATTTTTATCTGGAACAATGCAGGTCGAAATAAAGCTCACAGAAATGATCGAAGAGCTACTGCAATGCTTTCGAATAAACACACAGTACTGAGCCGATATTTTGAGAGTTCAGAGCCAAAATCGTGCAAGAACTGCGCATGAAGAAAGACTTTCTTGGCTTGAGAGAGAGAGAGAACGAGAGAGATCTTGTAACAATTTGATGGTGGTCAATAATATCTTCGTCCAACTGACGTGAAAGATTTTAAATTCCTACTCCACTATGAACTGTTTTTGATTCTCGCCTTATTGCCTGTGTTCGGTATATACAGTACAGTATGGTGAGTGTGTGACAGGATGAGAAAAGGCCTCGACGAGGAGCAAAAGTACGATTTCTATCTCGAGGGGTGTCGGTTGACTAATTGCGGGTCTGATTTACTGGGAATGGCGATTTCTATCTCCGCCAGGGGGTTTGTTTTTCTGGCTCGTGTCGAGAGAAAGTTTGACGTCGATCTCGTTCTGGTTTCTGAGTTCGAGTCCCCGCGTTCGAGTCCCCGCGTTCGGCTCGGCGACTGTCTCTCTCTCTCTCTCTTGTTCTCTCTCGTCGACGTTTCGACAAATTTTGAGATAAGGAAGTTCCCCTCCGGACCTCTCGCAACTTACTCCCGTATGCGGTCATTTGCATGCATCGTGACGACCAACGCATAGTTGAGATTTGAAACCGCTTTTGTGTGAACCCGATGCACCGCTTGTGGAAGGCCGCCATCCATCCATCCATCCATCCGTCTGTCGGTCGTCCAGACGCATTTGACGACCAACGGGGCAATTGTCGGAAGAATTATGGAACCTATTCTCGATCCACGCCGAGGTTATTCCGGATTCCCGAGGTCCAGAATCTGCGACTTAAAAAAAGAATTATTCCTTTTTTCTCCATCAGTGAAAGAGCGCATCTGTTCGATTTTGTCATTTGAACGTTTGCGAAAGATGCCTCGACAGACACTTTTTCTTTATCTCTTCGGATATTTGTACTCAAGAGAATGTATGCGAATGCAAGAAGCATTCACATTTTTCCTCGGATCTTCACTTAAAGCGAATCACGCGTACGTTGCGGAATCTGAAAGAAA